CTGTTGAGGTTCTCTGGGTATACACGAGCTTTACGAGTTTTATCATACGTATTCCGTTTCTTTTTCAATTCCCTCACGAGATTCAGGAATACCCACAAATTCCCTACAAAAAATCTATCACACACAGAGATTCAGTTTATAAAATCAAGATTGATTTCCCTGGCTCAAGAAAGACACTATCATCAAGAATATGAATCTCTAATGAGTGCCAAACCAATTCCAATCAAAAGCAATTTATGTACACTCAACCCGTTTTTAGATTATGACAACATCATGCGAATCAATGGAAGACTTTCTGACTCATCACTTCCCTACAAAGAACGACATCCCGTCATTCTTCCCGGCAACTCCAGATTATGCCACCTCTATCTCGCCCATCTTCATATTTTTTTGGGACATGCCGAATGCAATCTGTTATGTAGATTTACGCAAACAGAATTTTATATTTCACGCTTAAAACCCAGAGTCAAAAGCATAATCCACAAATGTAAGACGTGCATTTTATATAAACAAAAGGCAATATCTCAAATGATGGCCCCTTTACCCGCAGAAAGATGCACTTTTTCACCTCCGTTCTCTATTACCGGCGTCGACTTTGCAGGCCCAATTGAACTAAAAAGTTCTTCCATCCGCAATTCTCCAATTATAAAAGGATACGTGAGCGTGTTTGTATGCTTTTCAACAAAAGCAATACACCTTGAACCCTGCTCGGACTTATCCACTGCGGCCTTTGAAGCGGCATTCACTCGGTTTGTTGGGAGGCGGGGACTCCCCTCCAGGGTAGTATCCGATAACGGAAGGAATTTCGTAGGAGCAAGTAGAATACTACTCAAAGAATTTTCAATTTTTCTCAAATTAACTTCCACTGAGATTTCCCAAAAATACGCAACACATGGGTTTGAATGGCAGTTTATTCCCCCTCATGCACCTCATATGGGCGGACTATGGGAAGCTGCCGTAAAAAGCTTCAAAATCCACTTTAAGAAAATTTGTGGTGCCCATAGATTAAATTTCGAAGAATTTTCCACTTTGCTTGCTCGAATTGAAGGAATTTTAAACTCTCGGCCCATCTCAGCAATATCAGAAGATCCTTCAGATATAACAGCTCTTACCCCGGGGCATTTCTTAAGAGGATCACCTATAATGGCGTTCCCCGAAAATTCAACCCAAAATATCTCCGTTATAAATCGATGGACAAAGTTAAAAGCTCTCCATAACACATTCATTCTACGTTGGAAGGAAGATTACTTAAAATCCCTTCAGAAACGCTACAAATGGAAAACAAGAACGACAAACCTGAAGACTGGCGATATGGTTATTGTCATGGATGACCTCCTGCCTCCCCATGAATGGCGTCTAGGCCGAATTGTAAAAACGTACCCCGGCTCTGACGGAGGTGTTCGGGTAGCCGACATTCAAGTTGCTACCGGTTTAATTAATAGACCAATCGTCAAATTATGTTTTCTACCATTATCGAACTCAACAAACAACGATTAAACTTGCCTACAGATATCCTTCACTCATTAATATACACGCTACACTATATTCCCTTTATATAACTATTTGCATATAAATTAATTTGTATCATACATTTGCAGATCACAAACTCCAAGTAACAAAGCGGAAATATACCAATGCAAACTCTGCAAAAGATTCCACTCCCTCAAGGTTTGCCCAAAATTTATTGATATGACACCTAGACAGAGGAATTTACTGGTGTTGAAAGAATCATATTGCGTCAACTGCTTAGCAAGAAGCCACCGCTTCCGAGACTGTCGGTCGCGCAACATGTGCCGAACATGTGGTCGACCTCATCATACACTATTGCACCAAGTATATCCTGAGATCAGAGGTTCACAATCAAACACACAAAGCACAACCAATCCACCTAGGTCTAATAATCGAAAGGTCAACCGCAACAACAATGGACAGCCTAACGAACAAAACCTGGATCCCCAAATACTATCTGAGGCCATACGTGCCATTGCTTCCGTACTTTGCTCCGCTAACAAATAAGCAATCATCGTTGGACCCGGCGGCATGTCTAAACTAGATTGTTTAGACTTATATCTTTAAGTAAACATGAATTATCGCTATTGAACTAATGTTAGATCTAGTTATTTCACTAAAAAATACTGCATTATCTCTATTGAATTCATTAGTATTAACTTAACGAATATGTCAGTTAATGAGATATTTTGGAATTGAAACAATCACCTAAATTGATTTATATTTCTTGGTTGGTGGCAAACCAACATTTTAGTCCACTTTTATTTGAACTTTTGCACGGTGAGAACATCTTTGTCAGCAATAAAGCTCGAGCAGACAATCTACTAAAATTGGTTTTATTTCCCACTTCTCTTATCTTTCGTCTTAAGCTCCTATACTCGTACCTCAATAATTTTCTCCTTTTAGAGAAAATTATTTGTAGCAGCACTAAAACCTAAAAACTTTTTTTTTACGGATTCCCTTCGCTGACTCCCTTTTGCCAATCAAGCCGAATACAGTCCACACTAATTGCTCTCAAAGCTGGGTATTTTGAAACAGGTTCCACTCATACCCATTCAGAAGCGCTCTTACTCAACCGCCAAACCTGTACACTATGTTTGCTTTGACATTAAAAACATGTATGCAAAATTTTGGCCGCCTATGTCAAGTGGTTCGGCAGTTAATGAGTTTATACCCAATTTTTGGGTAAATACTCAAAATAGGGGTACCTTTGTATGGGGGCTACCAGTAAACGTGGACCTACATACATACATACATTTTTGCATGGACATTTGGTACCCAAAAAGAACACTCTGTACCAAATTACAGCCAATGTGGAGGTAAAATGTGTCTAATAGACAAAAAATACCTTAAATCCGGAGGTATGGCTTATGGGGGCTATATCAAAACTTGGACCCAGGGACCCCATTTCGGATTTCTATATTTGCTTTGACATTAAAAACATGTATGCAAAATTTTGGCCGCCTATGTCAAGTAGTTCGGCAGTTAATGAGTTTATACCCAATTTTTGCGTAAAAACTCGGGTATTTACCCAAGTATTTACCCACGTCTTTAAAGTATCGTAAAACTATCCATTCTAAATCGATTTGATAACAGAAACCCGGAAATAGGGTGTAAGATGTTGTATTACCTATTCAATATAGTAAGTACCCAAATAAATACCCACAAATGGGTATTTACCCAATTTACCGGGTATTTACCCACTGCCCATCTCTATCGATGGCACATAGACCATAATATACAAATTAAAAATAACAAGCTTTCCGACCCAGATTCTCAGAAAGAAACTTGGCCTAGTGCCATCTACCCCCAATCATGTCGTCTACACTCTAGCTGGTATACTTCCAACGGATTTAAGAGCTCAGCAGATGGCTGCAAAGGAACTTATCAGAGTAAAAATATATAATCCTAATATAAACAGTTCATATCACATCCATCAAAAAGCCAGTATTGGCCACGTGTACACCAAGTTTAAAACTATCTTCTATAATTTCAAAATTGGACACAATATATGACACTGCCAAGATCGACATCCATATGAATACATTCAGCTTTTCAAAAACAGATCTTTCAGCAGAATATTTCAAGGCGCTCTATTTTCACATCCTAAATTAACTCAAATCGAAAAGCGTCTCGATATAGGCTACAGATACTTCTGTAGATGACAACAGCACAGGCTGCTCAGTCTGCAACATTTCATCCAACGAAAATTTTCTTTTCAAAATTCAGGAAAAAGTATCATCACTAACTGGGGGAATATTGCAACCTCTTTTTAGGTTACCTCCCGACGTGAACTTTCAAAACGATACACGTGTCTTCTTTTTTAGTCTCTCTTTCATAATCTGTTGGAATTTAGCGGTAATTATCAAAAAACTGAAATTTGTCGCACAGTGTTATTATACCCTTCACCACACTGTGGTACAGGATATTATGTCTTTTTGCATATGTTTGTAACAGGCAAAAAGGAACGAGATAGACCTATCGTTTTCGGTATTTGGGTTTGATTTTGTCGCATTTTAAGAGTACAAACAACCGACTAGAAAATAGTCATAAAAAGGTTTTGAACTTTTTATGAAATTTTGAATGTAGTTACATTATTAAGTAAAGGCTGTGTGACTTAAACATTTTTAGCGAGGCAAGATGTTAATTTCGACATACCGTATAATCAAAGATAAAGAAAGACGAGGAGCATGTTCACTTTTTTAAATCTTTAATTTGGAGAATTGTTTTTTTTTTATATTTTGCTTTTACTTACAATTGTTTTAAATAATAAATTAAATTGTCGTGTTAAGTTATTATTCAATTAAATATTTTTTTCCAATTACGCCGATAGTATTCCAATTACATTAACCTGCACTAAACTTTGCAATTGGATACAAAGTACTTGAAATTACAAACAAAGCGTTCATTATCGAAATATTGACCACGTGGACATTGCAATTTAATCGCTCTGCCATTGAGACAAACATAGTAAACATTGCAATCTGAAGGATCTCTAACGAATGTACCTCCTGGAAGCCGATAACAATCTTCAGGTTTTGGGCTGTGTGTCGGTGTCGGATTTGGAGTTGAGGTACTCGGTGTAGTGACAGGACAATTGACCATATGACGATAATTGCAGACATTCAGTACCGTATCAAAATATAATCCAGCAGGGCATATTTGGAGATACGACAAATTTTGAAAGCATGTGTAAAATTTGTTACAGTCGTTGGGATCTCTAACGAATTTACCATTTGGCTGATTCAAACATATTGGTACTGCGGTACTGGTGGTAGCGGTGGTTAATTCTGTTTGTGGTTTGGTTTGATTTGGACCCTCTGAGTGAATGTGTGTAGTTGCAGGGGTAGCGGTGGTTAATTCTGTTGGTAGCTTGGTTTCATTTGGTCTCTCTGGCGTCTTCGTATTGGTTGGTAAGGGTGTCGGAGAATTTGTCAAAATATATGTAGTTGGAGGTGTATGGTCTGGTGTTTTAGTTAGTTCAGTTGGTAATTCGGTTTTACTTGGACTCTCTGTGGTAATCGTATTAGTTAGTAAAGGTGGCGGAGAATCTGTCGAAATATATGTAGTTGTAGGAGTAAGATCTGCTACTGTCGTAGTGCTTTGGATGGTAATCGTATTAGTTAGTAAAGGTGGCGGAGAATCTGTCGAAATATATGTAGTTGTAGGAGTAAGATCTGCTACTGTCGTAGTGCTTTGGATGGACAATGATGTCGTATTTTCTGGAGTAAGAGTTGCTATTGTAGTGGAATTTATTTCTGTTGCTGAACTTGTCGTTGTATCAACCGTAAATGTAATCTCGGTTGTTTCGACGATGGTCACCGTAGAATCTGTTGCCAATTCAGATCCTTTGGTTGAAAAATAAGTTTCTGTTGTTGGCGGTGTAGTGCTTATTTCTTTGGAGATTTCAGCTGAAGTCAGAGTCGACAAAGTTTCCGTAGGCAAATCAGAAGGAGCTGTAGCCTCTGTTATTGTTGAGACGTCGGTGGGAATAATTGTTGTAGTTACCTTAGTATCAGAAGTAACTGTTGATGTGTAGGTTTCTGTCCAAGTAGTTGTCGAACCTTCGAAAAATGTTGCAGATGATAATTGTGTTATAGTTACTGTTGCCACAGTTGTAAATGTTGGGAGGTATGATTGTGTTGTCTCCTCTGTGGGAGTTGTTGTTTCTACTGTCGTTAATGGTGATTCCACTGTAGTTCCTGAAACGAAAAATCGATTATCCTTTTCAATAATTGTGGTCGTTTGTATTGTAGAATCAGTTTGTAGATCTGGTAAAATATGTTTAATTTTTTGTGATGGCAAACTGTTTACTAGAGTTTTTGTGGATTGTAATTCCCATGTTTCGGTGACTCCATAAGTCGTTGAATAAATTGTTGATTCATTTGGTACTGTTCGATCCGTAATTATCTCGGAAGTTGATGCAATTGTCTGCATTGTAGTAGTGACCGATGCTGCTGGTGTTTCCTTAAGATCCGAATCTTGTCCAACAAGTTTTGCTAAACGACGTATGGTAGTTTGATCTGTGTCAGGTTGTGTTGTGACTACAAGTTTCTCTGTAATTGTATCAGACGTAGTAGATTCTGTAATATCTGTATAATCCACTGTAGTTGCGGATCTTGCATTGTGAGATGGTATGTTTGACTCTGCAATATATTCTGCGGTAAAATGTCCCTTTGGATCATCGCTTATTTCTTTGAGTGCGGTAATAATGCTGTGCTCTGGATCTGTTGTAGAAAAAAATAATGTTGTGAATCGCTTTTCTTTAATTGTCGTATCGGTGCTTAAATTCGCTGTGGTCTCATCTATTGACTCAAATGTTGCTTTCGTTTTGACGTCGGTGGAAGGATATGCTGTTGTTGTTTGTGATTCAAAATCGTCTGTAGTTTGTGGCAGTAAAATATTTGTTGGAGTCGTTAGCTCAGTGATTATATCGGTGGTTGATATAATAGGCTGCATTGTGGTAGTAGTAGTAAATATTCCTACCATTTCCTTAAGATCTGAACCTTGGTGGACAATTTTTGCAATTGGTAATATTGCAGTTTGCTTTGAACTAGGTGGCGGTGTTGTAACATGTTCTCCCGTAGAAGCATCAGTTGTAGTCGATTCCGTTGACTCGTTTGTAAAATCTTCATATTCCGCAGTAGTTGCTGTTTTAACGTCATAGGTTGGTATACCTGACTCGCCAATATTCGTAATATGACCATTTGATTCATCCTTTATTTCTTTGAACGAATTTATGGTAGTGATGGTACTTTGATATAGGTCCGTACTTAATGCCTTTTCTGTTGTTTCGAAAGTTACAGTTGTAAAACTAGTTTCTTTTAATGTAGTATCGGTGTCGAAATTCAGTGGAGTCATTATTGTGGTCTGATCTGTTGAATCTAATGTTGCTTGGGTTCTGAAGTCGGTGTTTAGGAGATATGTATTTGTTTGTGATTCAAAAACAGTTGTATATTGCATTGGTATATTGAAATTTAATGAAGCTTTAAATCTTCTCAAATTCGAACTATTGGGCTCACCTGTATTAGTTTCTGATTCTGTGGTTGCTGAAGATATTGTCGAAGTCTCAACTGGATTAGTAGTTGGTACAAAAGATCTTGGGAATGTTTCAGTTGTATATTCAGTCCTATCAGTTGTTAGATAATTGGTTGAATCTTGAATTGTTGTGCGTGTTGTTGATGATTCCGTCGATCCATAATCTATTGAGCGACTACGAAGTGGTCTGGTATAAGTTGTTTCTAAGATTGTCAGTGTTGTTGTTTCGTGCCTTGGATTTAAAGTAGTATTATCAGCTCCTGGTGTTGTAGGCCAAAGAGTTGTTGTTTTAGAAACGCTATCAGGAGAAGTCATGACAGTTTCAATTGGAGATGTTGTAGTGAATCCGTTTGTAGAATAAGAAACTGTTTGCGCGATAGGATTAGTAGATGTATTTGTATGTATTTCTTTTGTGGTCGTATCTTTCGTCTCAACTGGAATACATTTAACGATTTCTGGCATATTGCACATATTATCACTGGGATCAAATTGTAATATTCCAGGACATTCCTGGGTGTATGCATTATTGTCATAACAAATGTAATATAAACTACAATTGTTGGGATCTCTTTCAAAACTTCCATCAGTTTTATTCATGCAAATAAACGAAGTATCTGGAGCTTTTTTTTTAGATGTCAGTTTTTTCATTAGGATGCGAGTTTTGTTACTTAACAGATCACTCTTAGCACGTACTGAGTCCACTTTATCTGATCCTTTTTGCAATGTCATGGGCAAATCTGAGCTTGAATTTTGTAAACTAGTGGATTGGGCTGCAGAATTACATGGAGCCACGTTTGTTCCAAAACCATATATTATAGGATTATTTTGTAAAGGATATATTATCATGGGCAGAAATCCAGTAATTTGGGGAATACCATCCGTAACTGCACACGGACATGGTGGACATTTTCCCAGTGTACAACGTTGTGTTGTTTCATTAAAACGATACTCGCGGCCACAGTCCAAACTGAATTGTCCAATATCACCGAGACATACATAAAATCCATGACAATCCAAAGGATCCTGAACCTTGAAACCAAATTGACGATTTCTACATAGCTCTGAGACAAAAACTGCTTCATACAGTTGAAAACTAGCGATCCACAATAAACTCAGTTGTACATCTATAAGGAGACGAATCGTTAATTATTTGAAATTAAAATCATTTACTGCACCTTTCTTCTATTACTTACATAATTTCATAATTTTCAATAGAAACAAATTACTGGCACATCTGAGAGAATTCTCCCACAGAACTAATGGATTCAGATCTGCATGATGGTATTATATATAGTTGACAGTTGAATATGTATGACAATGTTTTTCAAGTGGTCTGAACACGATGTTGCACTAACCATAATTAAATAATGTTAGCTACCGCTTTGAGTAGACTTAATTTGCCAATGTTGAATGTTCAATTTTTAGATAAGAGAATATTCAAGAATTTCAAGCCAAACATTGTTTGGTAAGTTTCTGTTAAAATATATTTAACTTATTCGACATCTGTTTGGTGTAGATAATGAACGGTATAAATAATTTTAGGAGAGGTGATTTAATACTAGGGCTAAAGAATGCAAGTCATAGTATGAATTGAAATACGAACAAAAAAAGTTTTGTGTAGTTTTGATCACTGAAAAGTATAAATGTGTAGAATATCAAAGCAATGTCTGAGTTTACATAAATTGCATTATATTTAGGAATATATACTTTATGGGGTCTCCGGTGAATATTTCGAGGTGTGGAGCGACTAAACGTGGACCGATATTAATAAATGTTGTAGAAATATTTGAACCCAAAATATGAAATTACAAACAATTCGGTAAAAAATTCTAAGATGTTGTGTTGACGACTCAATTTAGTAAATACTCTAGCAAATGGCCTGAAAGGGATATTTACCCAATTTACCGGGTAGTAACCCACAGCCCACCTCTATTTATTGAATTACATAATTAAGTGTACTCTTTTGCTTGTTTTAATAGCTGCAGGTGTTTGGCATTTGCCTAAGTTATTTTTAACATTCCGAACTTTTTTAATAAATTGACCCCTTTTGTTGTTTATCCTATTTTTCTTATTTGCTAATTGTGTGTGTACTTTAATCTTTTTCCTTCTGTTATTTTTGTTTGCTCACTTAATGAAGAAGGTAAACTCAAGTATACATATATATATATATATTTATTAATTATTGCATTATTAATTATTTTATTAATTATTGCATTATATTTTATTAATTATTGCATTATACAGTCGACACTATACAGTAGACTCCGCTTTACTGAAACGGGAAAAATTTGGATTTTTGAACAGAAAATAATTTCAGTTATCCGAACTCATCATAAGCGAAACATTTTTTACTTTTACGAATTTCAATAATCTCTATATAATAGCGAATTTGTATGTTTCGATTTTTTTTAAAAAATAGACGATAGAAATTAAAACTAGTTAACATGTTCACTGCTTATGGGAATTTTATTATGAACTGTAAAACTTATGAACTTGTAACGAAATCCATCGTCTGCCTGTTGCAATCGTAAGACCTATCTTAAATACAACGTTTGATCTTAAGAAACTAAAATATCGGCCGATTTTAAGTCTTTTTAACAGCTGGCTAAGCTGTAATACCCAATATGAGGTTGTAAATGAGTATAATACTTCCAGCATTTTAAAACGAAGGATTGGAACACGTCGCCTTAAAAACAGACAGGAACTAATGAACTGCTTAAAATCAGAGTGGGAAGCTATACCAACAACAATTCTAACAAATCTTATAGAATCAATGCCAAAAATATGTGCGGCAGTGATAAAAAATAACGGGTATCATACGAAATATTGAAAGTTGCTTAGGTTTCGAACAGCTGCTTTGTGAGTTAATTTTGTTTTCATTTCTTTATTTTTTTCCAAAGAAATATAATTTAAATTTGTTGTTATTTTCAGGTTATAGACACATAGTAGAATAGTAAATAAAATATATATTTTTTATAAATCAATTTAACGATATCATATAAGACCATGACTACGTACTAAGAAAAAGTTGCTTAGGTTTCGAACAATACTATATATATATATATTATACATTTCCTTGAGCTTCATAACTCAAACAGCCTGGCAAGTGCTTCCAGAAGGAGCAATGCACACGATTTATTTTGAACAAAAACGCCAAGTGTCTGTCACCAATCAAGACAATTATAGGTTAGTGCTCATTTTCCCCATGATAGCTGAATTGATAAGACATCTTTCATCTTTCTTTTAAGTATATATAATAATTATTAAGTACATAAGGTTATAAACATTTTTCTATTTTAATATGGATCATTTATACTCATGTATAATTCGTATAAGTTTATAACTAATAAAAATATTTTTTATTCATTGAAATCACAAAATATATAAATTCATTACTTATCATGTATTGCGTAGATAATAAATGTATTGTATATTAAAAATATAATCTATATTGCAATGTAAGTCTTCCATTTTTATAAAAAAAAAATATAATTTTGCACATCTGTTTCTTGTTTTGTACGCTAATTAGAAACAAATGCATATTTCGTTAAGTAGATAACAAAATTTACATCCTTCTGAAAATTCTATAAATATTTTCATGCTGTCAAAATAATTTTATTTCGATAAAAACTCTCAATTATTAGGGATGGGACAAATTTCTTGGTTATTCAGAGAGCGATTCGAATTGAACAATGTTCGCTCGGACAATTTTGTATGGAGAACTAAAATTGTTCAATATGAATCACACTCTGAATAACCATTAGCATTAGCTTTACAAAGCTATTGAAAAAAATTGACATAATGGCTAAATTAGGTAACGGCTAGTTCGTAGCATCAGTTCTAAACACCTACTTCACATGCGAGCTTTTTTTGTTTTTGCTATTACTACCCTGCAGTTTTAAAAGTAGAAATTGCTTCAAAATCGTTATGTATTACGCTAACGAAAAATGGACTGGTTACTCCTGACGCCATCAGTTATGCAGGAGTTCGCATATCGACTCTTTTACGATACACATTCTGACTGGCGAAATCATTAATGAGAAGGATCATTTCTACAAAAACAACATTGTTTTCCAGTGCAAAACAGGTTTCACCGTTATTCCGAAGAAAATGCAGAAGGAAATTTTTTTTACTTAATTTTGAGTATTTTATTTTTTCGTTGGCGATAGTCTCAATTTAAAGTTCGTGGAGGTAAGTGCGTCGCATTTTTTAGCGATTAACACCACTAAAGCCCTCAAATGAAACATGTTTATGTAAGTATTTAGTATTCCATTTATAATATAATTTTAATATTTAATAGAATTGTTTTAGGTAGCATTTTTCAACTTCATACTGCAACCATTTGGTCATGGCGTACAATACTGATGGGTTTCAGGCAAACTATTTTCAAAGGACTGGAAAATATATAAATAACACTAATAGGTAATATTTTAAAATATTATAATTTCTTTTGATTCGCATTTTTTTTACTTTATCTCTTTTCAGAATCCAGACCTGAAATACAAAAGACCCTCTGAAGAGCAGCTAAGCAGTTCCACGGATCCAAGTAAGGGTGAAAAAAAAGAAAAATCCGTCTCCAAAAGGCTTTTTTTCCATAAAAAGTTTTATTTATTTTATTGTTTTAAATAAATTTCCAAAAAAAATAAATAAAAAAGTCTTTTCATTAGGGAAATAGCATTAGTGTAATAACTGGTACATATAGACTAGATAAGTAGCACACTACATGTTATTGGCGAAATCTTTAGTGAATGGTAATGCAGAAGGTAGAAATTGACTACCGGCAATGTCATCCCCATGTTAAATTCGTTAGTCAAACGCATTGGTGGTAGTTTGGCGAGTAATGCATGGTAATTCTGCGTAACTAATCATCGGCAGTACGACAACATATTCATATTTTATTCCCGAAAAGAAATAAGCCGAGATTTGTTTTTATGTTTGTGTGAAATGTGAAAAAGAACATTTACAAGGAAAAGAGCATTTCGACTGTTGTTTAATTTATACTTGTCAAAACTTAATCAAAAAGGTCGATAATAGTACTAAAACATAAGTTATCTTCTATCTATATATGGGAAATTACAAAAATCTTTTAAATTCATTGAAGCTGAGGTTTGCAAGGTTATAACTCGCGAAATATGAACATATTGCATATAATTTAAATTCATTTCTATAAAATGAAGTGTTCTTGTCAAAATCTTAAAATATTGGTAATAAATAATAAGTTTCGTGGAAGCTGTGATGGTGGTAATGTAAAAAAATTGGTGAAAATGGGTTGACGCCGACGAGTTTTTTTGTGTTCTTTCCTGATTTGTGGCTAAACTACACAACGCACGCACATGTGATCCGTGACTAAGTTGCAGAATACCCCATGGACAATATGGTTCTAATGTATGATTTTTCGATATAATCACTGCATCCACCCAAAAAGGATGCTGACATTTTGAAGCCTTTTTTTGAATTTTTCTTATAATTAGGATGCGCATCCAGATTATGGACTAAACTAATTATAGGATTGTAGAACTCGTGATTTTGCTTAGTTTAGTGTATATCTCATGAATGGGCTCACCGTAGCTTCTTTGCAATTGGGTTCCAAAGACGAAAATTTGGTGCGTAAATTTTTATAAAAAAACTAATTTTTTGAGTCTAAAATTAAGAAAGTCCATTCAAATTCCGTGGAACCCCGCGTGATTTTAGTTTTTTTTACGTGCCGGATCTAATGAGCCCATCCATGTTCAATTCCGCCCAATAAAACGGCGGATATAGGTACATTGAATGTGGGAAAAACTGCAAAAACGTATTTTGACAAATTCGCGTATATAATCGCGTTTTTCTTCGAATTGTTCACATACAATCATTCTTGTGTTATCATATTCGCGAATCTGTGTGAAAAAAGGTCAAAAATATATCGATACGCGAATAATATGCGTAGTTTATACAAAATCGATTGTGGAGGCACATCCGCGGTTCTTAACCGATCCTTTTAAAATAAGTGTCCTTTTGTGTATTTTCATAGGAGATTACTGAAATCGGATGCGCATAAAAATCGCATGCACGTTGCGTGATTTTTAGACATTTTTAGGGTTTTTGCATAGTAAAGTGCATCGAGCGGCACACTTTGACCGCTAAATTAAACATCGAAAAAATCATAATTATTGAAAGACATTGATTCGGTTTATACGAAAACCGCATGCGCATCAACTGATTTC